GAGTGAGGGTGAGGGGGGAGTCACTGTGTGTAGCATGTCCAGCAATGACCCAGTACTGCAGTCAGGATGTGATGTCATCGTCAGCTCTGTTACTAGGAAAAACCAGACGGAGGATTTTCTGTAGAATTTTTTTTTTTCAAACCCAAACCTTCATGTCCTCAGTCGTATTCCCAGTTTTATTCCCAGTTATTCCCAGTTATTCCAGGCTGTGAGGTGATGACCTCCGTTTGACCTTCTCTCCTTCAGATCCCACCTTCATCCACGCTCACCTCATCCCTGACAGCAACGAGAAGAACGACGACAAGCTCTACTTCTTCTTCCGCGAAAAAGCCTCGGAGATGGGCCAGAGTCCGATGACCCAGTCCAGGATCGGACGGATCTGCCTGGTGAGTCGTCCCGGCAGTCGGCGAACCTCATGTTGGGCATCATCACCACCGTTGACCAGTTATTATGACCTGCTGGTCGAGTTACCAGTTTCCTCCAGTGTTTAAACAAGAAGTGGTCCCTAGAGGGCGCTGTGCCTGGGGATCTTAAAATAAACCCGTTCATGTTGCGTCGCACTTGTAAATGTATTTTGAGCACAACTTTGACGAGGAAGATGTTACCGCCGAATGTTACCAGATGGCGCCGTAAACCTTTCAGGATTAAGTGGAAAAAAAAAAATGTCACAAATGTTGACGAAAATATGGAAGAAACCAGTGAATAAAATGATTGGACAGTTCCAAATTTTTTTTTTTTTTTTTTTGTGGCTCTCACACCCACAGAGCTTCCAGCTCGTGAATCATTTTCCCAAGCTCTGAGAGTCTACCTCCGTGGTCGACGCTGGCTGACCTCAGAGGCACGGTGACGGCCTCAGCAACACACTGTGGCTGACAGCTGTGTGGAACAGCTGCTGGTTCAACGCTCGGCATGTTCAGAAGGCCTAATGACTCTGTGTGTGTGTGTGTGTGTGTGTGTGTGTGTGTGTACAGAACGATGACGGTGGACACTGCTGTCTGGTCAACAAGTGGAGCACATTCCTGAAGGCGCGGCTCATCTGCTCGGTTCCAGGGACCGATGGCATGGAGACGCACTTCGATGAACTCAGTGAGTGTAAATTTAACTTTCTTTTTTTTTTTTTCTCTTCGTCCTGACCTGTCCGTCAGCGCTCCGATACACTGCTATAATCCAACGAACCAATGAGAGCTCTCGGATGATCACAGGTTTAATCTGATTATCCACAGGAGAGCGCAGCATTAATCACGATTATTCGTGGTTGATCTAGATAAGAAACATTTTTGTCATTTTGACGCTGGAAGAGAGAGAGAGAGAGAGAGAGAGACAGGAAACAGCTGTGTGTGTTTAAGCTAGAGAGAGAGAGAGAGAGAGGAAACAGCTGTGTGTGTTTAAGCCGATGACCAATCAAAATGATGGAATTATAAATGTGGAAAAACATATAAAATTACAAATTTGGTAGAATTTTAGTCACGACTGTAGAACGTGTCAGTCTACAGTCGTGGTCCTACAGACCAGTCTGTCTCGAGGACGGACTCGAGGACCACCCTCGTGGAATTGAGACATTATTTAAATCCTGATTTGCTCCTGTGAAATGAAAACGTATTCATTTTCAGTCTGAAGCCGTTTATGAACAACATTTGAAAACGTCATCTGCGAACAGACCAGTTGGCCGCGGTCGACCAATCGACTCCTTTTGCGTCCAGTTTGCGTCCAGTTTGTCAGTTTAGTTTAACAAACAGAACAGGTTTTTCCCCTAAATTCCCATTCAGGATTATTAATACTTTATCGATCCCAAGGAAATCGTTGGTGAATTTCCCAGAGTTCGTCTGAAGATGAAATGTCTTTGGCCGTTAGAACCTGCTGCGGAGCCAAGGCGGAGCTTCTGGACGCCGTCCTCCTGGATTCTGACCCTGGTTTTCCTTTGATTCCTGGATTTTATTCCCAACCATTATTTTTGAACAGCAGAACTGGTCTCAGTGGTCGGCCGTCCAGTGGTCCAGTGGTGGACGCTGAGGACACTGGAGGTCGTCGTCATGTTCAGTCCAAGGAAACACCTCACTGTGTGTGCGCTTCCCTCATGATCGGCCAATCACAGCCAGGACTGGTCGTTTCCTATAAAAAGACTACGGTGTTTTACAGAGTATAAGTCGCTCCAGTGCCCTCTAGTGGCTGTCACTGTGAAAATAACAAACGTCAATTTCCAGTGGTACATGAGTAGCAGATACAGGTGCACAAGCCTAGAGTGCCCTCTAGCGGCATTGGAAGGAATTGGAGTTCAGTCTGATCCTGTCGCAGAGTTCAGTCGAACACAAAAACATTCTGTGGATTAAAAAAAAAAACGTTTTGAAGACAAACCAGGGAAAATGTTGGTCGAACAGGAACAGGAATAAAGCGTTGGCAGTAAACTTTTACTGCCTTTTTCAGATGTAATTATAGGTTTTTTTTTTCTTGGAGTTATTTTTTAACTGTAGACAAATCCACCAAAAGCCTTTCATGCTTTTACAAAGAAGTGGACGTTTTTGTCGTTTGCTTTTGTCTGCCGTCCCTGTAATCATTCCGTGGAGTGGACATTTTCAACAACATCCTTCAGCTGCACTTCCCTCAGACAGACGGGGTATTACAGAGATAATCCCATACAATCAGGACTCATTTCCCAGAGGCACGCTGGGTAAAAAAGCACCGTCTACCGTCTGTAGTTTCCTCGCAGCGCCGTGTTTATCCTCGCTCTCTGTGTTTCCAGCAATCAGAGCGGGACGCCGAGCGCCGCTCCTGTCTCCGTCGGACTGGACTCAGCTCGCGCCGTGTCTGAGTTTGATGTTTTTTGTTTTGTTTTTTTTTCTGATGTGCAGCCGTCACCTGTCACTGCTCTTTTCAAAACCTTTCCAAAGTCAGAAATTAAAAAACTCGTCGTTTGTATTCCACGCTGTAGAATGACGGCGGCGCTCGTAGAAACATTTAACCTCAGCCGTTACAGAGACTTGGCGTCTTTACAGTTTTTCTTTTTTTTTTTTTTACATCTGAGAAATAAATGTGTTAAAGTGGTTGACATTAAAATCCCGACGGAGGATATAGAATTCCACAGATTTTTATGGTAAATGGGATTTTTTCCAGACGTTCCCTGTTGGTAATCACTGCAGTCGTTATTCCAACTGAACTCTCTCTCTCTGGTTGTTGTTTTTCCTCTGATGAAGTCCTCAGAACAGACACAGGCTCCACAGATGCCTCCACTGTTACAACACTGGATCATGTGACCTCCATTAGATGGAGATCAGATGTTCCTGACTGCAGTGGTATGGTTTCACTTTATGAGACGCTGTCTCTCACAGGACACACAGAGACTCCGTGTGTCAAAACACCAAAATCCATCACTAACATCTGCCTTTCTGGTCTGAGCTCTTGTCTTCTCTTATTTTATTACCCCAGCCTTCACCCACGGGGCAATTAATGTGATTTAGCTTTTTTGTCTTTTTCCCCTCAACCGTTTCACACAATTAATGTAACAACATCTGTCGTAAAAAGAAAAGAAACTTTTTTTTTGAGTTGTGTACTCCTAAAAGTGTACGACTAAAAGTTACTAATACATGCATATATGTACATATATGTATGTATAAATATACATATATATTTATATATGTTTGTATATGTGTAAGTATATACATCTTCTTTTTCTTTCGGCTTTGTCCCTTTTTTTCAGGAGTTGCATAAAATATTTTTTGAAAAAAAAATTTTCAAGAAAAATTTTCGAAAAAAAAATTTCGAAAAAAAATTTTTTTGAAAAATTTTCAAGAAAAAAGTTTTTCAAAAAAAATTTTTTTTGAAAAAAAATTTTCTTGAAAAATTGTTTTTGAAAAAATTTTTTCTTGAAAAATTTTTTTTCTGAAATTTTTTATTTTTTCTTGAAAAATTTTTTTGATAGATTTTTTTTTGGAAATGTTTTTCTGTCTGTGTTGTCCCTCTAATGACCTCATTCCTGATCCTGTCCATTCTTGTCAGTATATACATATGTCATAATAATAATAGCAAGAATTCTATTCCTATTTCCACAACTAGTTGATTCAGTTCCTACAGTAAAGTAGTAGTTAGTACTTTAGTTAATGAACTTCTTTACTGGAAAAATGTATTTGTTAAACATTAATGACTTCAGAATTAAAAACAAAAAACTGTTGAAATGATGTTTCCACAACGGGGTTAAAATGTTAGTGTTGGGGTTCAGAGTACACAGTACTATAGTAGTACTCTGTACTATAAAAATGTATGGGATAAAAATCTGCAAAAAAGATTTTCAAAACATTCCCAACAGGAAGTCAAACCTCAGTACCGCAGTACTACAGTACTGAGGATGTGTATCAGGAAATATTCACCTAGATACTTCCATTACTGTGAATCCTGACCACGTGTACTCTCTTCATCAGGGGACGTGTACATCCAGCCGACCCAGGACACCAGGAACCCTGTCATCTACGGAGTCTTCTCAGTGTCGGGGTAAGGACGGGGGGGTCAGGAGGGAGGGGTCAGGGGTCAAAAAGGTGATGATGAGAATGATGTGTTAGAGACAGACTCAGATTCATGGAGGTCAGCAGATGTGTCCACACACGTGTTGGTTTTAATACTTGAATCAAACTCCCACTGATGGAAACATGTGATGCTAACGCAGCTAACACAGCAGCCAGAGCTTCTCTGCAGTACGTGGGTGTTTTTGTGTGTCAGCGTTTTTGTGTGTCAGACGGCTCCACTCCACTGGAGTCGCTCTGAGAGTGTGTGTGTGTGTGTGTGTGTGTGTGTGTGTGTGTGTGTGTGCGCATGCGCATCACGATGTTTCAGCGTGTTCCTGTCGGAGGCCGACCGAGTGGGAAGGCGGTAGAATCCAGCAGCCGTAGTAATTATCTGAGGAGAGAGTTGATGTGTTGATATCCACCGTCTCTCTCTGTGTGTGTGTTCACCCCCCCCTCCCCCCACAGAGCCGTCTTTAAAGGCTCAGCAGTCTGCGTCTACTCCATGGCCGACATCCGTATGGTCTTCAACGGACCTTTCGCCCACAAAGAAGGACCCAACTACCAGTGGGTGGCGTACACTGGAAAGATCCCGTACCCACGACCTGGAACTGTGAGTTCAAACAGTAAAACATGTTAAAAACAACAAAAACCAAACCAAATGTCAGTCTTTAAAGTTGAGGTCCGTGTTGTGTCCTCAGTGTCCCGGGGGGACGTTCACCCCCAACATGAAGTCCACCAAGGACTACCCTGATGAAGTGATCAACTTCATGAGAAACCACCCCACCATGTCCAACCCTATATACCCGGTGCACAAGCGCCCTCTGGTGGTCAGAACTAACGTGGACTATGAGTTCACCACCATCGCTGTGGACCAAGTGACGGCTGCTGACGGGAGCTACGAGGTTCTGTTCCTGGGGACAGGTCAGTGGGGTCACGGCTGGAGAGTACTGCCACGCAGTAGGATGTAGTATAATATCAGAGGATATGATGAAGTATAATAGAATACTTATATATCAAGTCTGCACTTAAAACTCGTCTGTTTAAAGTTAAAGTTCTCCATCTGATATTTCACTGTTGTATTTTAACTTGTTCTTAATGTTTTAATGTTTTATTGTTTTTTAATCCTGTGTTGTTGTCTTTGTATTTACTGTAGTCCTTAGGTGACATTATTATTATTACTATAATGGAATGAATATAATGGGACATAACTGTATGTTGCAGTTGTTGTGTCATAAATGTCTCTAATATTTAAGTCCTAAAACAAACTTGATAATTACCAGTGTTAACCAGTGGTTAACTAATGATTAACTAATGGTTAACATTGATTTAATTCATCATCGTCGTCTGTTCGTCAGATTATTATTTTGTGATTATTACCATGTTTTAATCATTATGAACGAAGTCGGTTCTGTTTTGGCCCCTGCAGATCGAGGGACCGTCCAGAAGGTGATCGTTCTGCCCAGAGATGATTTACAGACGGAGGAGCTGGTGCTGGAGGAGGTGGAGGTCTTCAGGGTCTTAATTCTCTCCACCCTCTTCTCTTCTTTGTTTGTTTGTTTGTTTGTTTAATTAAATACATGATTTTTATTTTCCTTTTTTTTCTTATCACTTCAGGTGCCAACCGCCATCACCACCATGAAGATCTCCTCCAAGAGAGTAAGAAGACGTTTGTCACATTATATTCTGAACTGAACTGAAAAATAAAAACCTAATCTAATTAAAAATATGACGACAAATTAATTCTATTTTTCTCTGAACTGAACTGAAAAATAAAAACCTGGACTTTTTACAAATATGACGAATATTGAATTCTATTTTTCTTTTTTTTCTTTTTTTTTTGCAGCAACAACTCTACGTTGGCTCGGTCCTGGGCGTGACCCACTTGGCGCTGCATCGCTGTGATGTGTATGGAGAGGCGTGCGCCGACTGCTGTCTGGCCAGAGACCCGTACTGCGCCTGGGACGGAAAATCCTGCTCCAGATACTCAGCATCACAGAAGAGGTGAGGATTAGGATTGTGTTCACAGACGTACTTCAGATTACAGACTCACCGCTGTGGGTTCGTTGGTGTGTAGTTGTCAGATGTTTATATTTATGTGATTTTTCTGTCGTATCGAGGTTCAGTCACGAAGTTCTTGTTGAAGAGACGAGAGTTCACCACCATCGCTGTGGACCAAGTGACGGCTGCTGACGGGAGCTACGAGGTTCTGTTCCTGGGGACAGGTCAGTGGGGTCACGGCTGGAGAGTACTGCCACGCAGTAGGATGTAGTATAATATCAGAGGATATGATGAAGTATAATAGAATACTTATATATCAAGTCTGCACTTAAAACTCGTCTGTTTAAAGTTAAAGTTCTCCATCTGATATTTCACTGTTGTATTTTAACTTGTTCTTAATGTTTTAATGTTTTATTGTTTTTTAATCCTGTGTTGTTATCTTTGTATTTACTGTAGTCCTTAGGTGATATTATTATTATTATTATAATGGAATGAATATAATGGGACATAACTGTATGTTGCAGTTGTTGTGTCATAAATGTCTCTAATATTTAAGTCCTAAAACAAACTTGATAATTACCAGTGTTAACCAGTGGTTAACTAATGATTAACTAATGGTTAACATTGATTTAATTCATCATCGTCGTCTGTTCGTCAGATTATTATTTTGTGATTATTACCATGTTTTAATCATTATGAACGAAGTCGGTTCTGTTTTGGCCCCTGCAGATCGAGGGACCGTCCAGAAGGTGATCGTTCTGCCCAGAGATGATTTACAGACGGAGGAGCTGGTGCTGGAGGAGGTGGAGGTCTTCAGGGTCAGTCCTCTCTCCACCCTCTTCTCTTCTTTGTTTGTTTGTTTGTTTGTTTGTTTAATTAAATACATGATTTTTATTTTCCTTTTTTTTCTTATCACTTCAGGTGCCAACCGCCATCACCACCATGAAGATCTCATCCAAGAGAGTAAGAAGACGTTTGTCACATTATATTCTGAACTGAACTGAAAAATAAAAACCTAATCTAATTAAAAATATGACGACAAATTAATTCTATTTTTCTTTTTTTTTGCAGCAACAACTCTACGTTGGCTCCGTCCTGGGCGTGACCCACTTGGCGCTGCATCGCTGTGATGTGTATGGAGAGGCGTGCGCCGACTGCTGTCTGGCCAGAGACCCGTACTGCGCCTGGGACGGAAAATCCTGCTCCAGATACTCAGCATCACAGAAGAGGTGAGGATTAGGATTGTGTTCACAGACGTACTTCAGATTACAGACTCACCGCTGTGGGTTCGTTGGTGTGTAGTTGTCAGATGTTTATATTTATGTGATTTTTCTGTCGTATGGAGGTTCAGTCATGAAGTTCTTGTTGAAGAGACGAGATGTCCGATATTAACTTTCTGCCGATATCCAACGCTGTCCAAATACTTTCCGATTCTGATATCAATTGATGATTGTTTATTAAAATAGATTAATAAAACGAGCTGCAATGCTGCCATCTAGTGGAGTACACCTTCATAAACAGCCGAATTTTCACCAAAACTATTTTTAAGTCTCACTTCATTTGATGAAACCCAGGCATCGGGTTTTTATTATAGTCTTTTCTACAGTAGTAAAATCACCACTGATTGGACGTTGATTCTTGATTCTATTAGTCAACAAACGTATCAATACATCACATTTTCATCTCGGAAAATATATGTCATACATACAGTAGTCAACAAACGTATCAATACATCACATAACTTTTCATCTCGGAAAATATGTCGTTGTGATTGACTCGACTCATCAGACGTTTAATCGTCGACTTGTTCTTATGAAAACTTTAGACGGAGCCGTCGTCAGGATGTCAAGTACGGCAACCCCATCCGCCAGTGCAGAGGTTATAACTCCAATGGTGAGTGTCGGTACTGCACGCTGTCCACACACAGTTGACCAACAACCAAATATCCTGTGGTAAAATCAAAGAGTTTTATTTTTTTATCTGTTACTTTTACAAAACTTTGAATGTTTTTTTCATTTCTGTAGCGAACAAGAATACACTGGAGACGATTCAGTACGGAGTAGAGGGAAGTACTACGTTTCTGGAGTGCCAGGCCCGGTCTCCTCACATGTCTCTGAAGTGGCACCTGCAGAAGGAGAACAGCGACAGGAGAAAGGAGGTGAGTGGAGCTCCTCCTCCTCCTTCACCTCCTTCGCCTCCTCCTTCTCCTCCTCCTCCTCCTCCTCCTCCTCCTCCTCCTCCTTCACCTCCTCCTCGGGAACGTGTTCTTTGAACAGTTTTGTCATCGTTAGTGTTGTACTTTTGTACTTTTTTCTTTCTAGATTCGATCTGAAGGTCGGATCTTGAAAACCGACCAGGGTCTCCTGATCCGCTCCCTTCAGTCCTCCGACGGCGGCATCTACCAGTGCACGTCCACGGAGAAGAACTTCAAACACACGCTGGTCAAACTGCAGCTCGTGGTCCTTTCCAGCCGCACGGTCAACAACGTGTTGGTGGGGACGGGTAACCCGGCCCTGCCCCCCCTCCAGTCCAGCGCCTGGACTCCGAGCGCCGGCCAGTACAAGGACCTGCTGACCATCCTGAGCCAGCCGGAGATGGGTCTGATCAACCAGTACTGCCAGGACTACTGGCAGATCGGGGACGGCACCTTTCCGGACGGCAAAGCTAAAAGTCTGAAGGAGCTGAAGGAGCAGAAGAAGCCGCGCAACCGCCGGCATCACGACGAGCCCACGACTCCGGCTGAGACATGAGGAGCCGGACGCGCCCGTACTGTCATCCTCAAACATCTTGTCTACCTGTTCTCACAACCTCCTCGTCACTGCTGCCATCCATGTAGTGAAGAAGACCGCAGACGAGTCCTAGAAACATCAACACCTTCATGATGAACACGAGAAGCACAGCGACCCAGAGCCACAGCATCAGAACTCTCTCTCTGTAACTGTTGAAAAATCACAATATTTATTGTAGGTTGTAAAAAGTAATTCTTTGTACGTATCTAGAAAACATGTTTTTTGTGAATAGGTCAATCTGTGCAAATATTGTTGTTATTATTATTATTATTATTATTGTTATCGTTAGTGACATTTCTTTATAACGATGTGGCGTTCGGTCCGAGACGTCTTTACGTTTGATGTTTGGAGACGTGACAACCAAATTCCAAGACTGGGGATCCATCCACACATGGACGAGGACGGTGTTCACAGACCGTGACCACGTTGGATCACATGACTGCAGGCAGTGTTCGGTGTCTAAGCTGAAAGAGGAAGTCAGGACTTCATGGACCGTCTCAAACTTCCTGTTTCTTTCACCAAAACCACACGTTTGTCCTGCGCTGCAGGATGGGAGCTGTTGACGGTGCAATTCCTGGGACATGTTTGCCCACAGACTGCAACTGATGCACTGTATTTGTGAATGAGGGGCGGGGGGTTTTCGGGGGCAGACCTCTTCCTCTGCCGTCCGACCCCGCCTCCTGTAGGAAAACTTCATCGTTCGACCCGGATTCTTCCAACATCAGTTGCTGCCAAGTGTTCGTTTTTGTTCATCTGTGAATATCACATCTGAGTGTCGTGTATCCTGAACCGGCGCGATCGCTGCGATACCCTGTCCTTCCACTGGGAGGAAGAATCTTGCGACGACACAGGCTCTGACCAGACTAACGCCGCCCCCTAGTTCCAGCAGGCAGCTACTGTCAGTTTGTGACACTTGGTGAAAAAGAAAAAAAAAAAAGTTGTCGTGGGATTATCGTCGTAGGTCGTTCATTTACTTTGCTAAAGGATCAGTTGAGGTGAAGCTTCCATTCCTGCCACTTCTCTGCCGAACGACAGACGGAAATCCTGTCTGGCCAAATTCACCGGTCGACACTCGGTTCAGTCAGCGTCGTGACAAACTCCCTGTTAACTCTCGTCCAGTTTGTTGCGTTAACTGTGTGGGACCGTGCAGTGTTGACAGTGTTCACAGTCACCAAACCCAGGCCAGCGGACCTCTCAGTGTACCACCACCATCAAGCTTTCTTCTGCCGCGCCTGAAGAGGAGCCTGAGAGCCCAGTCCTCAGCAGGTGCTGGTCCTTGTGCATGGCATGTACAGCGTATGTAACAGGTGTTTGTCTAAAAATGCTACTTTAACGTGGATGTCAGTGAATGTCTTTCTCAGTGTGGGATTATGAAAATACTATCGGTGCAAAAATCTGTGTTCACGCGTTTTAGAAGAGTGTGAAATTCAGACGGTGTAAAAAAGGGTTCGATGGTGATTTAAAAAGATTCTCTCTCCCGTTCTCTCCTTCTCTCCTTTTTCTTACAAATGTGCGACACAAATTAGTTTTTATTTCACACAATGCATCTATTTTTTTTCTTTATTGGTCAGTTTTTTTTTCTTTCTCCGAGGCATTCAGTCAGCGTGATGTACGATGTAACGCACAGTCGATGTTTTAACGATGACTTGTAAAAAGTTACTTTTCTCTTCCTCATCAATGTTGCGGACTAATAAATTAAAGCTCTATATTTTATAATAACATGTGCTTTCTGTGTTTGACAGACACACAACGGTCAGCCTTATTTTAAGTGTGTGCGTATTTGCAGCGGTGCCCTGGTGGTCAGGAAGGGAACTTTTATTTTCACAGTTAATTTCCAAAAATGATATTGTGGCATTTCAGTAATTATAATGTTACTAATCATTACCATGTGTTTTAAAAAAAAACAACTTTATCCACCATGTGACCCGTGAGTGACGTCTCTGAAATCTTTCTCCAATCACAGGCCTCGATGAGTCTGAGCGTTGAAGGGCAGGAACCCAGAGGTTTGTGAAAGTCTGAGCAGAACTGGTGTTTGATGGGGAAGCACTTCATGTTGCATGCACTTGTCATCACATTTTGAGCAAAGGTCAAAGGTGAAAAGCACAGACTGGGGATCTGCACTGGTGACGGGACTTTAAAAATGTATGACCAGAACATTTGACTCTTTTTCTTTATTTACGTTATGTCAAAAAAAAAAAAAATACAATTTAACGTTGTTTCACTGAGTTCACATTTTAATGATAAAATGATCATTTTCTTTGTCTACAGTTTTAATCGTTACTTCTGAAGACACGGTTGCAAAACTTTTTTTTTTTTTTTTTAACAAAACTAAGATGTTCAACAGCAAAGATAATACAGGTTAGCACAGCGGGACACACAATGTGACATCCAGGCTGTGTGTGTGTGTGTGTGTGTGTGTGTGTGTGTGTGTGTGTGCACGTGGACATCATTGAGCGTGATTGGATTAGGATCTGTAACCAGCTCCAGATTGAGGTCAATAAGATCTGGCGGGTGAAACTGTAAAGCCTGTTAAATTCTTCACAGCAGATCTTCTCAAATGTCCACGTCCCAGTCTTCTAGTTCAGACTGGGACGTGGACGTCTGACCCCATGATACTGTACGCTGATGATGTTCTTATCGCCCACCTCGCCTATGTAGCTCAACAGTCTGCATGTAGATCCACATCAGTCTGTGGGTCATGTGACCCACAGACTGAATTATTACATGGTGTGTGATTGGACACACGTAGGACAGAAGCCACAGGACAGAAGCAGCGTCTCTCGTCTTCAGAGCAGAATACGGAGATTAGCAGTTGAGCCGACGTTCATCTTCCGCTGACCACAGCAAACTCTTGGATCCCTCCTACCCCGAGGTGTGTTCTCCTCACACCTCTGCCCCTAAAACTCCGCTGTCCTTGTCCGTGATTGGTCGTCTCCGGTCAGGTGGACAGAAGACGCCTGAAATCCTTTCCTAAGAGAAGAAAATACTCCTGACGTCCTCCAGTGCTCGTCGGAGGCAGTGGACAGCACCCAGGTCGGGGGACACCAGTCGTCATCGAGGACCTACTTCCATTTGACCCTTGGCGTTGGAGGAGAGGGGCCTGAGGAAGGAGCAGTAGGATGGGGGCTGGGGCGAGCGCCGAGGAGAAACACTCCAGAGAGCTGGAGAAGAAGCTGAAGGAGGACGCCGACAAGGACTCCAGAACGGTGAAGCTGCTGCTGTTAGGTAAAGACGCGGAAGGTCGTGGGGTCGGGATTTGAATCTGGTCGTCAAGGCTTAAATTGACGACCAGATTCGTCAATTTAAGCCTATGTATTTGCTGTTCACTTGTTGCTTCTTTTATGTTTTATTTAACAACATTGTCAGGTGGTTTATTAGGATAAAAATCTTTGAACCAATGTTTAAAATGTAACTGAGGCAGAAGCTGAACAGAGAGAGTTGTCGGTTCATCTCTAAGACATTATTAATCACTCAATCCTGATCCTCTGTTAATCCTCAAATAACAGAACCTTCAGTGCAGAGAGCTTAACTCTGAAGGACACGGAAACCGAACTGTCCAGACCAGAGCTAAAAAAATATAAAAATAAACAATTCAAGTCAACACTGTTCCAAAAAAATCATTAAAAAAAATACTGTTATATATAAAAAATGGTGTAAAATTCAACCATAGTAATCTCTAAAAATATATGTTCTACAACATAAAAGCCAAAGAACAAAAAAAAACAAATTAATTAATTAGATTTTTTTTTTTAAACACCTGAGAAGTGAAAGCCTTCAGGTTGTTATAATACTGCATGTATTTAAGAGAAAGTATTTCAGGAATGTTATGTTTGTGTTGTCGTCTGTCGTCTCGTCATTTCTCTGATTTCTGGCTCATATTATACATGAAAATGTACTAACGTATGTCCCGTCTTGGTCACGCAGGTGCTGGAGAATCAGGAAAGAGCACGATTGTCAAACAGATGAAGTACGAACCTTTGTTTTTTCTTTTAAAATCTTTAAATGTTTCTCCTCCTTTGAACGTCCTCACCCTGACGTCACGGTTCTTTTTCACCCCAGAATTATCCACCAGGACGGTTACTCACGGGAAGAATGCCTGGAGTTCATCATCATCATCTACAGCAACACTCTGCAGTCCATGATGGCCATCGTGAAGGCCATGAGCACGCTCAATATCAACTTCGGCCACTCCGACCAACAGGTTAATAACAATGAAACGAATAAGAACAATAAGAAACAAACATCAGTGACTTGACCCAAACTTCCTGTTACAGGACGATGCCAGGAAACTGATGCACATCGCAGACACCATCGAGGAAGGCACGATGCCCAAAGAGCTGTCCGACATTATTTTGCGTCTGTGGAAAGACACAGGGATTCAGGCCTGCTTCGACAGAGCCTCGGAGTATCAGCTCAACGACTCCGCTGGATAGTAAGAAGTCGCTCCGACTGAAGCAAAGACTGAGTTTGGTTTGGTTTGAGTTTGGTTTTATCTTAAATTCCATGGATTTTTTTTTCTCATTAAGCTACCTGAACGACTTGGAGCGACTGATCCAGCCTGGCTACGTACCCACCGAACAGGACGTCCTGCGGTCCAGGGTGAAGACGACGGGTATCATCGAGACCCAGTTTGGTCTAAAAGATCTGAATTTCAGGTACGTCTGTTCAGGAAATACCGTCGAAAAGTCGACTCTTACGACCAGGACTGAACGACGTCTCTGTTTCCCCGTAGAATGTTCGATGTGGGAGGTCAAAGGTCAGAAAGAAAGAAGTGGATCCACTGTTTTGAAGGCGTCACCTGCATCATCTTCATCGCTGCCCTGAGCGCCTACGACATGGTGCTGGTGGAGGACGATGAAGTGGTATGAAACACGTGACCGGACGTGAACTTTTGTCTGAAACTGAAGTGAATGACTTTCAAATGAACAAAAAAAAAAGTTTTCTCCGTTTTTACAAACCGACTTAATCCTAGTTAAAACTTAACTACAAACGTTGGACGGAGACAAATCACAGGGGTCAAAGGTCATAGACAGCA